CAAAAAGGAGTCTTTCTCCTTGTTGATTTTTGGCATATGAAGCCAGAATATTGACTAAAAGTAACTAAAGGTGAGTTCAATCTGGAAGAAAGAAGAGGATCTATTCGACGTAGATTGGTGTATAACATCAATCAAGTTCTTAAAAGATAAACTAGATATTCGGGAGGGTAATTTGCTCGCAAATTGCGAGTTCTTATTTTTTTATTCTTTGAACTATTTAAAATACAAAAAAAACCAACAAACAACAGGTCTAATGAGTCAGCGCGGATAATCAAGCGTACAAGTTTAGTAGATTAAAAAAATCTACTAAACTGGCCCTGTTATTTGTCAATTTTTTTGTATTTTAAAGATTGAAAGCCTGTTTTAATTACTATAAGCTGTGTTCAGCAGAAAAAGATGGATCTTGTTTTTGATTCCTTATATATTTAAACGTATAAACTATAAACTATAAATCAATCATATTGAAAAATTTTACTATAGTTGGAAAGCTGTTTTCTTTGCTGAACCCAGCCATTAAAACTGATAAATAAATTTTATGTAATAAAATAAAAATTTTATTTTATTTTAAATAAAAATTTATTTTGTTATATTTTATAACGTTACATTACATAACAAAATATATTACATATGCATATACAAAAGCTATGGTTAAATTAACATATAAAGTTATTAATAATGAAGAAATCGTGACTGTACAGTGCAATAATTGTTTAAATCAATAACACATTTAATATCTCAATAAAACTGAAATAACATAAAAAACACTTAAAGAGTATTATGTTTTGTAACTATATATTATATATTATCTCTAATTATGCTTAACAATTAAATAATGCAGTATAATTCAAGTTTCATTTTTTATCATTTAAAGGAAACAAAGATTTATAGCTCAGAAATAAATGGTTTCAGTAATAAAAATTACTTAGTTATTAATTTAATTTAATATTAACTTCGCTAATAAAAAATAAATATAATAATTTCTTCATCTATCATGTCTATGTTCGTATTACTTTGTAATACGAATATAAATATAAAAGCTATGATAGAATAAGAAGATTGAGTTGACTCACATCAGATAAAATTATATAAATTCAGAACTTGGCTTTTCTGAAAAAGACAAAAGTATTCCGAACATATAATTCTATTTACATAATTATATATTGTTATAGATCTTTACATTTGTTACTTATTTTATTGTTCATATTGCATAAGTTATTTATCCTTCTTATTGTTCAAGTTAAAATCATTAAGAATAAATAAATTATGTGTATAAATGATAGGAAGTGACGAGTATAAAGATTTATAATTTTATATAATAGAATTTCGGCAATCGTAAAGATATTTGTAACAAGAAGTAAACGTTAATTTTATTTATTAATAACTGTGTTCGTATCTCTCCGCTTTTTACAATTACATTCCGTTTTATAAATGCTTGGAAACAAGTGCAATAATTTGAATAATTTTACATTCCAAAGAAAAATTTAATATAATACTCAAGATTTTTTGAAGTACTCAATGAAAAGTACATAAGACTGATTTAAATCTATAATTTTAGATAAAAAATGTATCTGTAAAATATATATAAATCATGAGCAAATTTCATTTTTTTATTAAATTCTTCAATTACTGTAACTGAGAGTTATCAAAAGGTTTTTGCAGTTCCAATTTCACTGCCATGATAGCTAGAAACTTTTGATTTTCTATCTGGATCCATCGCGATCGAAATAAATTCCTCGGAAATTCTCTTGTCTAATCCCGTATAAGTCTGAGCCAGATCGACTTGATCTTCGCTGGTCATCTTTGGAGATTCATTTTTAACTTCAATATGCCTTTTTGTTTCTTCCTGATCTGCGAACGGCTGACGTTTGTGTTTTGATCGGTACTAAAAACAAATACATATCAATTATAAGTAATTATTTAAGAGGCGATTAAATATATGGTTCGTTTTGCGCTTACAACGCTTATAAGCATCACTTGTTCTTATTGTCTACCAAATATATAATATTTGGTAGACAATAAGAATGAACTGATGCTTACGCGTGTGAGCGTGAAAATAAAATGTACCCTATAAGTAAATTAATAAACGAAATCTAACTTGCAAGCGAAGTAAAATACAAATCTAAAAGTTTATAATGTCTTTTATTAAACTGCATTACTTTAATTATCCTTTTATATTTAAATATTTTTGTTATTTATCAAAATTTATAAGACTATACATATACATAATTTAATAACCACCAAATTTCTTTTTTTATATTAAACCGTATTTAGATATAAGATTATTTTTTATATCCTTTATTGAACTGTATAATTTTAGTTATTAATTTATAACCAATGAGTTTATATACGCATATTCAAAAGCTCACCATCTGAGATTGCGGCCGACCAGGGTATGGAGGCATATGGGATAACATGGGCATAGCACCATATGGCATCGAGGTCGAAATTGGAAGAGATCTAGCAGATACAAATCCTCCGGGTGTCGATGGCATACCGTATGGTGGCTGCAATGAACACAAAGTTTTTATATTTAAATATAATCTCAACTTTTTCGCAGACTCTCTTGTGTTTTGATCAATCTATTTAAATATATCTAATTGTAAGCAATATATTACATTTCTATTTTTTGAGAGATTTGCAAAAAGATATATATTTACATCTTTTAAAAGTGTTATCTACATTTTTTTTGAAAACTCAATGTGATGAAGAATTGTGTTCGGAATCAAGAGAAGAAGAAATGTAAAGAAGAGAAAATAGAAGACAAAAGATATAAGAGACACAGAAATGTATTGAAATACAATAAGTATCATAAAATAAAAGAGAAGAGGTGCTTGAGAGAAGAGTATCTTATGAAAGAAATAAGTAAAAGGTAGAAGGAAAAAACATAAAAGAGAACAACACAAGGATAAGAAAATGGAAAGAAGGAAAGAAACAGATAAGTAAGCACAAGCAGAATTCGTGCTCTTATAGAGAGTTGCCCCATCTTAACAAAACATAATTACAGCTATTGAAATCGTGGGAAAAGCGGCCGAAAGCGCTTACCTGAATCATTGGATGTATTGGCACTGGCATCGGGTGCACTAAATAGACAGGTGGCTGTTGGCTCTTAGCCGGCATATGATTTTGTGTGACAACCCACTGGTGAACCATATTGCTCGTCTTCAGATGACCATCGATCACCATCTCGTCGGTAGTGTTCGCTCGCAGGCAGCCACATAACTTGGGTGTCAAGGTCAGGCAGCTATAACCGGATACTAATAGCTCTGCCACGCTAGCCACCAATAGGCCAATGCTCGCTAACAAACCCGCCAAGCCGTTATCTACTTCCATCGCATTGCTATCATCACCCTGAAATATACATAGACATTTTTAATTCACAATAATATTTATGATTATTTATAATAACAGTTTAATTTAATAATAACCATTAAATATAAAGGTATATTTAAAAAAATCGAAATAACTTTTAAACTATCCATTTTTTAAATACTATATCTTAAGATACTTTTAATTAATACTTTAATATGCAAAATAATGAGAATTGACTTGTTATAAAAAATTTAGTGTTGTGTTTTTTTCTAAATATCATATTTAAACATAGAGATTAATCGAGAAATAATTATAAAAAATGTACCGAGAGGCTAAGGAATGACACGTCCGGTGCCCTCTGTGAATCCCTGACGACCGCCGTTAATGCTGTTATAGTGGCCATGTTCGAGAGGGCAAGTGCGATCAAACTGGACGCAAGATGAGCGGACGAAAAGGCAGAATTTGTTTTAGTGGACGAGGCCGCTAATGTTGCAACCACTCCTAGTGCACCAGCTACTAGAGCGGCTGCACCTGCCCAGAGTCCTGCACCAGATCCGCCTAAAGAAGCACCGTGGACGAGCACCAGGATACCAAAGACGACTAAGACAATACCTAAATGCAAACATGAATCAATTATCATCTTCTTCACTCTTGAGAAGATTAGTTAATAAAATATGATATATAATATATAATATAGGATAATAATATCATTATTATCCTATATTATGATAAAATTTGTAAAAAAAAACTCTATTATACATCCTATAAAAAAATCAATATTAATGTTTGCTATGGAATAATATATGGAATAATATTAATAATGTTTGCTACGGATAATCAATGGAATTATCTCGGGAAATTCTCTTGCATCGACTTACCAAGCAGCAATTGTCCACAAGATGTGAACATAAGCAGATTTGAGTCGTCCTTGGCTTCGGAAGCCGCCCGCAGATCCTGCTGATTCTCCGAGCGCCTTGATAACTGATGTTGTTGCTGTAGCTGTTGCTTTTCCGGAATAAGGACATCTTTCGAGTGTTTTGATTCCAGATAACTCTCTGGCTTCAGTTCCGAATTCACCGAATCCTTCGATTCCTTTGAATGACTCGAATTTTGACTTCTCACCGTGGAATCAAGCACGATCGTCGCTGTGTCTTCCATGATTTTTCACCAAGCAAATCAGTCATACATCACTGATTTTTATAATAATGTCATGTCCTTCCGAATTATTACTCTTGATCAGAATAATTTTTATCAGTAATCACACTGAGTGCTATCTGCTCACAATATTATTTAAAACTTAAAATGAAAGTCCAAAATATAATAATGTCTAAATTGCGATAACAATCGTTTTTTGGTTAATTTGCAAAATTTTCATGTGTTATTTCGAGCATAGCCTTTCGTCAATCTATTTTTATATAGGAGTTATTTTTATATGGAATGTTGATTTAATTCAATTAAGAATTATTTTCATAGAATCTTAATCACATTTTGTTCATATATTCTCTTAAATTTATTTAACTTTATGTATCTTAGCATATATGGCGGTATATTTATTTTATATACTATAGATTAAAATAAAGAGAAGATTCAATTATTGTAGATGTAGATTATCGTTGATAAATCTGTCTCCTATCTTAAATATTTTTGAAAATCATGTCAAGTTAGTAGTAAAATATTTTGTATCATTCGGATTGCATTATTATTCATTTGTATGTATTATACAAGTTGATAAAATTGTTGGATTAATATTACAACTACATCGAACCCGAAGTAAATTGTTGGACGTTGTAATCGCTGATAAGACTGGCAACGTACTCAGGATCGGAATTATCTGGAAATAAGACAAAAATTCTATAACATTTAATGAAATTAAACAATAAGACAAATAAAATGTCACAAAGAAATATCATTTTATGATATATATATATATATATCTATAACATAACTTGTTTTACTTAATTTGACCACTTGAAATTTCTTATATTATCATTTCTAAAATTGTGAAATTTTTGCTGAAGTTTTCTCATAAAACTCATTTTTTCAAAATTATTTAAGTGTGATTACTTTTAAAATGTAATACTCTATATGTACGCGTGCAATATATGCATATATGTGATAAAAAAACAAATGAAAAGGGAAGAAATGCAATTCAATAATATGAGAATATATCTAATAATTCTTCAAAATTTACATAATGAATTTAAATTTTAAATAATAATATGCATAATAATGAGAATAATCGATTTTATGTTAAATTGTATATATAAGCATATCTCTCAATTTCAATTTTAATTATCTCAGTTTCAATTATATACAAATTTAATTAATTTATAGCGAATAAAGTCTAGGTCAATACGAATCTCTACTATCGCAGATGTCCGATAAACGGGTCAATTAATATTAATGTTATTCATTTAAATTAATTTATTCCGTTAATTTGTTTTTTGAAAGACAAGATGCAATCATCATTGTTGATGTCAAAATTAAGTTGTCTTTAATTTCAATTAAATGATTAATAAGTTAAATCAAAATACTATATATTACAATTACATAATATATACATCTATATAAAAATTATATATGCATATATTTTTAAATATTAAACCAATTTTATTATAAATTTTACTTTTTTATTTTTATATATGCGTATAAAAATCTAATTTATTAAAAACGTTATGATATTCATTTCATGATAGAACTATCTTGTACATCTTTCTATTTCGCGAGATGATAAGTGACATGTGACAGATCATTATTTTAAATTTATGAGATTCACTCATACATATGGAGAAGACATCGATCGGTATGAATGGGATAATTTGCAATCTCATAAAAATTATTATAATCGTACAAATCGTTGCATTAAATTAGGATTTTCAAATCGTTGCGTTAAATTAGGATTTCTAAATCGTTGCGTTAAATTAGGATTTCTAATTCTATGATGCCACAATCAGATTCATTTGTAGAATATTATAACTTTCAGACTTTTAAATTCATTTATAACATCCGGTAAATAGAAACTTTAAATTTGAAATTAGAAAAACATAAGGATCCTCGCTTATTACACATTACCTATTTCGCTAATTGATGGAATCATTAAATTTAGATAGTGAAATATATATTATATCATACATAAATATACAGTATATACACATAAATTTTTCAATATCCATTTATTGTACAAAGTATATAAAAAATATTTAAAAAATTTAAACTGCGTGCTATACACGTATATTCTAATTACGAGTTTCAATATATTATATATTTATTTATTTTCATAAACTGAAAACATTGATACATGATAAATTAAGAAATTATATATATAATTATGTGCAAACGTTGATTATGTCTAAAATATATAGTGAACGTTCTAGCCTCGAGTCTTCCACTTCTGGTACTCGTGAATAAACATACGTAACGGACTGTTCTTAAGGCTGCATTTCTCGAATCATGTGTGTGTGTGTGTGTGTGTGTGTGTGTGTGTTTCGAGGGCTTGACGGAGATCATTATTACATTCACCGGAGCGCTCTGGCCAGTGCTCCGCGGAATCTTTACACTTCGCAATGCTTTTCAGTTCTGTTTTCCGCTTTCTATAAGACCAGAAAGAGCGTTTACTTCTTTTTGCAATTCAAACAGAGATTTATACCGATATCTTGCCAAGAGTTCCATTTACTACGCGCAGTGTCTCATTTAAAATTATACCTAAACAATTGGAAAACAGTAGATCTCTTGAAAAAAATGTTTTATCAAATGAAAATTGCTTGGTTTCGAAAAGGATCTTGATGAACAACATATTTTATTCTAGATAGAATCACGTCTGAGATTTAGAGGCTATTTTCATTTTTTTTAGAATAAAAATATATACATTGTTTTTAATTTACAAGTAAAAATATGAAAATGGGATCATTGAAAAGTGAATATTTTGCTAAAATATTCTGTCTATATTTGTTTTGATTTAAATATATAGATATATATATATATAATCTGATTTAATATATTATTATATTCTAAATTTAAAACATGATGTATGATGTACGGCATAAAATAATATCTTGTAATACACTTTTCATAATATCACATTTTTATATGCAAAGTAATAAAGAAAATTGATTAATGGTTGAACTGTTTCCATAAATGTATTTATGAATTTTTTTTTACATTAATATATAATACAAAATGTACAGTACAGATGTGAACAAATTCTTGCATTTGTTAATTCAATTATTGGACGTTTAATTTTTTATTAATAAATAAATGTAAAAAGAATAAAAAAGGTAAAAGAAAATAAAATACAAACTGTAATATAAAGACAAACTGTAATCTGAGAAACTCACCGATCCCACTCGCTCACATTCATCGTAAATCACAAATTGTAATTTGTACAATTGTGTAATTATCTTTTACAATTATATAATATAAAAAAAAACACATAAATACAGTTGAATGCACGTGCACAAAAATCTTCGTTATACATTGATCGTACTTTCTCGGTTAAAGGTCCACGGGAACGGCCGTGAATTAACATATCAGTGTGATATCAATGTTGATTTTTTTGACTCACATGATTCACGCATCACATTGATCGAAAATGTGAAATATCTCGTAAATATTCTTATGAGCAATCACTTTTTTCACGATTTTCGCGCATTTAACAACGATTGTAAGTCGCGAATCCGAGTGTGATCTGACGAACGTTCGATCAGCAACTGGAGTCATGCGTCGAAAAGTATACAGGTAGATTGCAGGTATGCTGCTTCTATCTGCTCGCCTCTACGTCTTTCCATTTCTTTCTCTTTCTCCCCTCTATTTCTTTGGTTCTCAGCTTCCTTCTCTCGCTCTTACTCTTGCCTGCTTTTCCTACCTTCGCCCCTTCCTTTCCGCGCCGCGGTGCGCTGGAATTTGCGAAATTGATCGCGAGAGATCGAACGCATATCATATTTGTTAGTGAAAAATGTATTAATATACATCCGTAGGCAAGTTACGCGATTGTAACGTATTCAGGTTTAAAACAGAAATTAATGGCATTCTTGTTCAATATTTTTTTAAAGAATTGAAATTGTTCAGCAACCAGTTCTTTTTTTATTATGCAAAACATTCGGTCACTATTGATAGTATAACTGGAATTCTTTTAGTGATATATACAAAAATAAATTAAAGACGCAGAATAAAACTTTGGTTTTATTTTTGGGACTAATGACTTAAAAAATGGAAAGATTTATATCTTTGTACATTTTTTAAGTTTGAACAAATTTGAAGTATAAATTATATTGTGTGTGAAACGTTCGGTTTTTCAATTGTGAAATTTACTTTTCTTCTTTTATTTTTCTAAATAAACATAACATCTCATTTGCTTTAATGGCTTTAACTTCCTTTTTTCATTATAAGCAACAAGCTGATATAGGATATGATATAGTTATTATTATAAATATACTGTTGAACTTATCTTAACAGTGATTATTAACATATAATTAAAAAATATAAGGTTCTAATTAATAAAATAATTTAAAATAATTTAAGTCAATAAAAAAATTATGCACTGAAAGAAAAAAATGATTGCAATTACCATAATTTAACTATAATTTATAGCCACTTTTTTGGAACAATTATATATTTATACTTATTTTAACCATATAAGTAAAATATCATATAATCAATCGTGCTATAATAATAGTCACACAGACTGCTTGAAAACTTTTAGTTATATTTTACATTTTTAATTTTCTTTTTCATACGTTTTGCTTCTTTCCTGCATGGTTTCATTCCGCGGGACACCCCGTATTTTCAGAGAAACAATTTGTATAATGCACTTAACTCGTTTTTATAAATCAATATCAATTTTTAAATTATAAAGCTTTTAACGTTTTGGTTAAAAATTATGATCTTTTAAAAAGAAAAACTAAAGAAGATCAGAATAATTCATTGAAATCAATTTTTCTCTTCTTTGTGTACTTTCCATCAGTCTTCTTTCATTTATTCTAACACGTAACTGAAAATGTCACTGTGCGCACACACGAGGTAACATTTTCATTCTACTGCGTGATTGTATGGCAAATGTAAAATAACGGAGAAACAGCACAAGAGGACACGTTAAGTATATACTATTAATATAATTAAGAGCGCTAAGAATAAAGAAATGCTGAGAACGGAGGTGATAAAAAATGGGAAAGATTGACTGCACTCATTAACCAAGTGTCTAAGTATAGTCTTTCAACCAGGAAACGCACATTAAATCGCAATTACTCCTGTCTTCATATATACGTTGTAATTTACTAGATATAGCGAGATTAGTTAAAATATTTTTTCCATTAAATTTAAGTTAATACAAGAAAGCATCCCAGTATTTTTCATGTAACGATAAGTATTTAAAAAATAATAAATTATATGATTAAAATAAAGCAAGCGCTTTAAAATGCGATAGAAATCGAAACATTAATAAAACGTAAATATGAAGCAAACATATCTTGCATGAATAATCTCTGTTTTGAGCAAATGTGAATAATTTCTGATGCTTTCCATAGTAATTTAATTTTTATCTCGGTTCAACTAATTCTTCATCTTTTTCTAGTTCTAAATATTAGGAAAAAAATGAAGAGTAAGTTGAATCGAGATTAAAGTTAAATCTACATTAGTAGAAACGGGCATGAGTATATTAAATATTGCTAATATTATTTAACCAAATATAACATATTTAATTTCTAATTTTTATCTTCCACATCTTTTTCTTCAGTTCATGTTCTCTATGACTCCAACTTTTAACTTTTCCATTATCAAATTCTCTTTCTGTTTCTCTTTGTATTTCTTAGAAGACAGATATTAAAAGAATTAAATATT